TTAACCCTTAACTATCCAGAATGCTTTTGTGACGTAACTGACCAGTAGTGTCCAACAGACTCATTTTATAAATGTAAGGTATAATGAAAGAAAAAAAAGATATTTTGAATGAAAAAGTCAGTATAATGTATTTCAGTGATGTGTATTTACACTTATTTACTTATAGATATTACAATTATTTTTTTTCCAGAATATTCAGTGCATGTATTGCGTTTGCATTCAGTACAACACTGTTTAGAAGCCCTTGATAATTTCGAAGGGTAAATATAACAATGCTTCTTCCTTTTTCCATTGTAGCTTCATATATTGGATTGCCAAAGACATGGCACCAGTATTCTCTAAAATCTATACCTCCCTGTTTATTGACGCTTATAATCAATAAAAGACCTCGGAGTACTTGCATTTCGATTTTATATCTGTTTGATGTCGTTATTGTCTGATTTTATTTCCATCGATTTTGTAAAATTCTAAGCCTTTTAGTATTGGTATATTTTACTATTATTTGTAATACGTGATCGTCGAAAAAATGGCTGAAACTGTCTATCGGATCTATTATAGTTTAGCCCGAAGGAGGAAGAATCACCTTATGGATACCACCGCGAATTACGTTGTGTCGAGGCGTTCGGTTTTGCCTGTTAGGTTCTGATTTCCAAGTTGTTATCTCTTCCTTTATAAGTGTAAATAGAGACGTATTCTTGTAATCATCATCACTGTTATTCCATAATTGTTCATCATCGTTTTCAGATACTGGTTCTGTGACATTACTTTATTATCAGAACAGCTGTCAACAGCTAAATTCTCATCATCACTATCGCACTTATGGACAAAAATGTTTTCATCGTCACTTTCAACAAGAGCACGTTGAATTTCACTTTGTGTTAGTTGCCGTTTAGCCATATCATTCAATAAAAACGAATTAGAACATGACTACATTTTGATAAGAGTTTCTGATTACTGATACGTGATACGATTACAAAAACTATGATTATAACACAAACAAAGGTCTAACAACCGCTTTTGCCCACCCGATACCATAAGATTATAAGTAAATGTAAATAAAAACAATCTACCTTCACACTTGAATCAAATAAAATGATATTGTGTCTGTTGGACACTTCTGGGTTGATGAAGTACTATTTTCGTTTATTGCCCAAAAATAATAAATATTTCACGTTACAAATATTTTCATTGCACATTTAGATTCGTAAAACATTGGCGATAAATTAGATAAAAGGCCGATTCATAAAAATAAAAACTTTAGTTTTTATGAAAACATAAACGCAAAATTGTGTCCGCGAGACACTTGTGGGTTGTTAAGGGTTAACATGAAATGAGGGTACCAATTAATAACAAAGTAATATCCGATATTACTGAAGATTCAAAACCAAATGAAGTTAATAATAATGAAGACAAGAATCATAAATTAGCAGTCCTAGGGTATAGGCTGAGTATAGGCTTCCCCCTTTTTGATGTCAAACTTCTTTTCGAATCCGTATGGGTATAAAACGCTAGACGTATAGAGAAGTTTTTCCCCTAATACTTTGGCGTAACTAATACATAGTAGAAAAAGGACATGTCTATCAATTCGTTTATGTTTTTAAAGAATACCAAACGTATTAAATTGGTTCATTGATCTACGAATGTCTGGCTCAGTTCTGGTTTATCTTGTTTATGTGACGTCACAATAAAATAAGGTAAAATAAAAATTTTAACTTTCGTCACTGATTTGGACCTTTGGAACCATTAAGAGCTATGACGGTTTATTGGGATTCCTTTCGTCTAAAGTCCATGTTTTTCAAAATTACCATGATGCGGATATTATTACAATTTGTAGTGTTATTATTATTTAGACCAGTGACGTTTGTGTCTATGAATTCACAAAATTCTACAACGTCAATGACTTTGCAATAATTTGAGGATAAAAACAGGTGATTTAATTCTGTATGGTCATTATGGGTAAAATTATCTTTTTTTTTGAGGGGGGAGTGAGGGAGAGCGAGAAGGAGTGTCAGACTCTCATTGACTATAAACCACCCCGTTCCTATTCCTGCACTTCGAGCCGGAGCCTCGGTAACCCGTTAAGTTCTCTAGTTAGAAACTAGACTCAACACAATTAATACATCAATGTAATGACGCAACCATGTATTGTACACTTGTACTGAATAGTGCAAATGTGCAAA